TTAATGTTCAATTTTTTTCACAATCTTCAGAAATCCCAACTGCTCATATTAGTTTTTTCAAAAGTTTTGTCCTTTGAGTGTCATGTGTTTTTGTAACTTCATATCTCTTCCATGCTATTAGTTTATTGCAAAATTTTAATGTTTTGCCTCTCAGCTTATTACTATATGATGTCGTTGAGCGATTCTCAGCCAACTTTTCTCTACGAATTCAAATTGAATCAAAGCGCTAGTGAAATGCTAGTGGTAGTGAACGAACTGTTGGTTTGGAAAATTTCGTTTCAGAGATTTCAGCCTCAAATATGAGCCCCGGAAAGGATGACCTTACTAGTAATCCAATTATTCCAATAATGAATTTATGAACTCTACGTGTTTTGCACGACTCTTTCAGAAATCGTTAATGAAAAACAATTAATGTATCAGAATATTTTATTAAATAACAGTAATCTTGTATATACATATTTCTTCAGGAAAAGCCATGAATGTACACGAAATTAAACAAATATAGTACATACAAAAATGTAGAATCTAGAAAGAACCATTGAAACTACAAGTGCTTTTTCATTTGAGCAGCATGCTTTCTCAACATATGTCTACTATGTGATCACTATATATTGCTTGCGTGAGTTTGTAATAGAAACGACTTTTTTGGGCGTTCAACATATGCCCCAGCTACAAGAAACACCTTCGTTTAACTTCTCTTAGGAAATGAAATAAAAGCGATCTCAACAACAATGAAAACTATACCAATTTAAAAAGACCGAATTGTTATCCTATATAATAGCCAGAAAAACTATCGTAACCAAATATGGCTGTCACATGTATTCTATTTGAGCTGATACAATTTATGGTAATCCACCTTGTCACAGAAATTATTTGTTACACATAACTTTATCATATTATCATATCCATTTCAACTCAGAAACTTCCAAGGAAAAACTCAATTAACAATAACAGAATAAAGGAAATCTATTATTATATTGGTCGGTTGTTGGCCTATTGTTGAAGTTGGTCCGATCTTAGCTTCAGGACGATTAGTGTATACGGTGGATCATATCACCCCTGCTAGTAATCACACGTTGAAAAGTAGGATTTCGTTAATCCCTAGTTCGCACAAGATTCGCACAGCGGATTTGTTGTTCGTAAGGAGGCGACGGCTGGTTGGCAGACAGACACATTATAACTCAACCCAGGTTGTTGGCGTCTCTACTCACATGATTATAACGGTATGCAAAATTTTCATTCGCACAATAAACTCACATGGAAAAAAAATTACTTCATAAAAAATAAATTATGGATTCGTTAAGGTCAATTTTGAAAACTCACCAGATAATTTCATTATGAAGGGTCTCTAATAGTCTCAATGATGAATTCGTGGCTGTTTACCAAATTAACATTAGGAATTGTCATTTTGACTAAACTAAAGAAAAATGTACATATTTCATTGGATTATTTCCGACAGGTGTCAGTGTAGGATTCTTCACTGAATCTTGGATATAATCCCTTCGTGGTATTAGCCAGGGAAGTAGTTGTTTTCTGACAGGTGTCAGCCCATTAACCTACAGTGTAGAGAGTTGAGACTGGCCTGAACGAATTGTTACTTTAGATGATTTAGTTTATAGCCAGTCTTCACCTTAGAATGAAGAGGAATTGATAATAAAAACAAAATTTGTTGAATATTCAATGAAAATTTCATTCCAATAGCAACAGGGATGATAACTGAAAGGATCATTAAAAGTTATAATATGAAAAAGGCTCCAGGATCAAGACAGCAGTAGGTCTGAAACTCGACTAATTTCATCATTACTTTACCGCATATATGACACATTCATTTGAAATAAAATCTGTTTCAACTACAGTGAAGTAGTAACAGTTCCACGTCGTGAAGAAAAAGCATCGATATACAAAGGATTATGAATCTGAATAGTGAGTTTTTTGAAAAAAAAATAAAATATTCACCTCTCCCATAATTTCTATACAGTAGGAAAAATGAATATTCATTTTCTCATATACTCTCGAACTTGTGTAAATAGTAAGATCTGAATTCAGTTTTAAACGGTTTTATTCAGCTTGTTTACTTAGTAATTGAAGTTTGACCTCCTTCATGTTGACAAATTGCTCTGATATTTGGTACACATTGATGACAATACAATTCAATGAATTCTGCATCATTGTGAATCCAAGATGATCGCAGCTATAAAATGGCGGATTACATATTTTTCACAACTAGTAGCAACTTTGAAAAAAATGTAAATTCAAGATTGCCTCAGCTACAAAATGTATTGAGGAGTTACATTGAAACAAATCATCGGGAAATAAACATTTTAATACCTACTGAGGCAATAAATAAACCTAACAGGAAAGAAAAAGATAATCAGATACTACTTTGAGCGTAGTATTCATATATCTTTTAGCTTTCAGTACATCATCATTATCATCTTGAAAAAAACCGTTGAACATATTTTTTTGTACTTTCCATTGGCATAACTGATGAATTCATTTCTAAAAACGAAGTAAATGAAACTACGGTGTTTCATGAATTATTTTTGAAGAAACCTCTGAGATGTTTGTCAGATTTGTAAAGGACTACTTTGACATTCAGAAATATTTCAGGAAAATAAAAGTTTTGGGTTTATATATTCATTGAAACCTAACATGATTCAAATACATCAAGATATTGTGGAGAAAGATCTAGAGTTTTTGGAGTTCTCAATAGAATTTGATATTTGAGATAAAATGTATTGAAATTCATTTTGAATACTGACTATCGTGAACCAACTTCAAATTCTCATGAACCTGAAGGAATTTATAATATAAATTCTTTATATAAATACAAACTGTATCTTTTTGTCTATTCAATGAAAAAATAATATCACATTCTCTCATTCAAATTAACCATTGAACTATGCTTCTAAAAATCATTCAACAAGACAAGAGAAATATTTATCCTTTTTCCAGGTTGAGAAAGTTATTGACAGAAGATCTATTTATCTTAATTTCATCATTCCTTACAATAAGTTACTTTGAACAGAAAAAAGTTCAAATATTCATTGTTGGTTGAAAATTCTTTTGGCTTTCTACTTCCACATCATTGAATAAAAAATTTAAGACATTGTTCATGTGAGAGTTGTTTGTAGAGGATTATGATACATATCTTTATAAAGAGTTCTTATTGTAGTTATTTTTGTCTCTTTTTTTTGAAAGTTCTCCATGCAGAAATGTAGAAAGCCGAAAAACTTAAAAAAAACTGATTTCTCTTGAAAATATTGAATTTTTAATCCAAATGAGTTTGCACCTCCATAAACTTCATTCGGTTCAAGTTGTGAAAAGCCGTTTTACTAATATGTACTTATTTTTGTCTGGAGGTTTTCCGAGAAAACTATGAAATGATAAATTAGAACAAATAGCTTTCCAAGTAGAACTAACTCTTCTCACAACTGAAATATAATGAATGAACAAAATATAATATCTGTGTTTTTTGTTAATTAATACTCACTGTTCATTTCTTCCTTTATTTTATTAGTATTATTTTGCTTTTTTTAACTAGTTGATTCGAATATTTCGATCTCGATAATGTGATTTTTATTGAGGTCCCTGATATTGTTGTGAACCACATCCTAACAAGAATTTTTCTTAGTCTTCCGGTATGTATGTATGTAATTACACCAAGAACAAACCTGTGAGGACTCTCAGTTATGCATGTCGCTCTTGTGAAAAGGACTGGTGGACAGAGTGGAAAACATCTTCATGGCATTCCAACCATGGAATTGAAAAAAATAATTCTTCAATCTATACTATTACTAATTAGACACACCAATGTGTTTTTGTTTGATATAACTATCCATAGATTGATTTGACCCCTCACAGTTCATCAGTAGCTGCTTGGGAACAGAATAATTTCTAGCATAGAAAATAAGATGAGGTTTTGCAATTATTCTTCGGTAATGTTTTCAAAACATACTCATCTAACGACAGAGTGATTCTGATCATGATTCCTGAATAATAATGAGGGAGAAAAACAACACGGCTTTGGAATCACTGAGCTCCACAAGATTGATAGATCCTCATTTTATTTTTGTGATTCGTATTTTATAAATAGTAAAAATCACATCATCGATAGACTGGTACATGAAACTCACAAATTCAGGAAGATATAGTAATTATAACTATTTTCATAGGAAGTCGATGAAACTAAATTTGATACCTTGTGAAAAAAAATAATTTGAAAAAGTAGTTTATCCATTATGGAACAAAAATATACTCTTGTTGAAAAATATGTTGATAACTCTTTTCGTGAAAAATTGCTAAAAAATTCTTTTCATCACAAGTAGTAGAAGAGAAAAGACATCCAACAGAATCGAAGTTTTTCATTAAGAAGCGAATATGAAGAATTCAATTCGAAGTAATTGTAAGTTCAAAAACAACCAGAAGATACAATAGGTACCTGATTCAAAGAAATCGAATGTTGTCTTTCATATACAGCTCAATAATAACCATTTGAATTATATTCAAAACAGCTTCAACAATTTCACTGAATACAATAACTTTCCATAAGAGTGATTTCAGATTGCACTACGGCAACAAGCTCATGCAATAGAACGAAATATTTAAATTAATACAATATAAAGTTTCACATTCAGAAAGAAATATATCCAAAATGCGTTTTTAATAGTAACCTATGTTGTGTGAACAAACAAAATAGATTTTGAACATTTAAATAACAATTACATGTTATCTATTGTTGAAATATCAATTTCAATGAACCATATCACATAAAATAGAATCACATTGTTCAAATAATCCATCAAATTAATTATGAAAAATTATTTTTTGGTATTTGGCGGGGTGATGACATTCTTCAAACTGAAGTGCATACTATGATAATGATAAACTATGATTTACTGTTTGTTGTGAATGTTCAGACAATTTACCTTGGAATGAACATTAAATCTAATAAAATCTTCTTTATGGCTAATGACAGCCTAGAGTATCAAACAATAAACTTAATGAATGAAATAATATATTAACAGACCCTGGTTTTTCCAATGGAATTGAATACATTCAGTACAAAATCATTAACATTTCTAACAACCAACGAATCATCAGATGACTTTATCTCACTGTGCACTAATCCACCACCCTGTAACTTCTGCTATCCCTGAAAAACATAGATTTGTTCGCCTATGATTCCTATTTTCTCGAGTTCTTCCAGAGCGATAGTCAAAAATTGGTTTGGTCCACAGACGAAAGTGAAAATATCTTTTATCGTATAACCAGTGTCCATGATGTGTTCAAGGATGGAATTTTCAATCATGTCTTTGTTAATGTGACCCTGCAGACCCAACCAGTTTTTGTCTGGGGTCGAGAGGATGTAGTCTATTTTGAACCTGAAACGGAAATTCAAATATGAAATAAAATTTCAATTAAAAATTAAGTATGAATTAAATGATTTTCAGTCAATTTTTAACTGCTGTTTTTGTTGTCTATAACGGTGAGGTTGATATAGATGGGAATTTGTATTAATTAGGATGTTGCAAATCTTTTGTCCGTTTTAATGTCATGTGTTTTTGTAGCTCCATATCTCACTAAATATTAATTCTTCTGTGTCGTGTCGTGTAATGGCCTTCTCGATGCTGAAAACAAAAAAAAATACAGTCGCGTTTAAAAAATATTTCATAAAATGATATTTTTTTAAATGGGACACCCTATATTTTATCTTGCATTTTGAATAACAATAAAATTCTCAACAACAAAGCTAATTATCACCTTTCTTCCTGAAGTTGAAAATGAGCGACTTATGTGGAATTATATACGTATTTCTTTCACTAAAATAAAAAAATCTTTATTTTGGCGAATGGAGAGCTATAAATATCGAGTGAATATTCAAAAACACCGCCTTCTTTTTGAACACATATTTGAGCCCTTCTCTTGACACTACGTGTTGGTAGCAACACAATTCTGCCATCAATTCTATTAATTATAGTTTCGATACAATTTCTCAGTTCGTCTACATTATTATGTTTTATTTTGTACACCCCATTTTTTCAGAAATCCTCGAGAATAAAAACCTAGAGGTGTCATGTCTGGTGAACGAGGTGGCCTCATAAGAGGACCATTTGTTGCAATCTATCTGTTCCCAAGACAGTCTCGTTTAATAACCGACGGTGGAACAGCAATTTTTTTAGATGAATCTCTGATGGAATTATTTGGATGTATCTCGAAGCAGACTATTCCTCCTCTTCCCAAAAACTATTTCATTGTTCCTGAATCAGAAAAACAGCAGAAAAACGCCAATTAGGTAATTCACGATCGGGGAACGAATTGCTGTAGTGTTGGAGTGCTGTTACGCTATTTTTCTGAGAAACCAAGTAGGATTCTAACCAGTGACGGCTCGTGCATTGGAGAACACGGGAGGCTAAAGTCATAAAGAAAAGCCCACCGGAGGCGCGAAATTTTTTTGGGGTATCGCACCTATTTAAAGCAAAATACGTAATATTTGCATAAATGGAAACAAAAATTGTATATTGCCGAAAATTATACGTATAAAACTGACCATAAAAAAATCAAAAACAAGGAAAAATAGTTTTCTTTGAAATCGTTGAGTCTGTCGGATAACTTGATTCGCCATCCTAAATCAATATTTGGCTCATAACGTTGGTCTTTCATCAACAAAGTTCCTCACTTCTTGGGTAAAGTCACAAAGGTGACTTTATCGGAATTATGATTATCGACTGGCGCCCAACGTGGGGCTGCTTTTCACCATTTCAGTTTGTAACAGTGACGGCTCGTGCATTGGAGAACAGGGGAGGCTGAGGTCATAAAGACTATATACACACAGAAAAGCCCGCCGGAGGCGCGAACATTTTTTGGGGTACCGCACCTATTTAAAGCAAAATACGTAATATTTGCATAAATGGAAACAAAAATTGTGTAACGCCGAAAATTATACGTATAAAACTGACCATAAAAAAATCAAAAACAAGGAAAAATAGTTTTCTTTGAGTTATTTAATATAAATCATTTCATTTTCAAACATAAAATTTAATGAATCTGAAGGAGACTTGCAATTTTGAAACATTTGAGGGTCGCTGTACATTACAATTAATCCATTTTTCAGTTGAATAACATCGAAAAATGGATACCGAGCTATTAAGTCGTTATAAAGTTTTTGGGGAAAATCTTTGGTATAGGACGAACATTTTTTAAACAACAACAAATCAAAGTAGTTTAATTTAAGTAAATCTTCTAATCTGACCATTGATTTGCATTAAAAAGGTGTTCAATATTTCATTATAAATCTGTTTATAATTTTTTCTCAAATCGGGTAAGTCTAAATTGGTTTTCCCTTTTTTTCGGCGCCGGCGGTTCGAGAGTTAAATCAATTGATTCAAAAATATTATTAAAAAATGTATCGTTATTTCTAAAATTCATTAAATTTTCTGTTACATTGTGTAACCATTGTTTTGAGTATTTAATATCTATTGATTTATTTTGAAGAATAGAAAAAACAACATACAACGGTATGTTCAAATATTAATTTTAATATTTCCAACAAGAAACAAAACTTATGATCATTTAAAATATATTTGAAACCTCTCGCCTCCCTAAGACTTTGGTCGTCGTTTTTAATATCGTTACTGTTTAGGATGAAATCAAAGACATCAATCAATTTGTCTTTGTTTGAATCCACTGAAATTACTGCTCTAGATGTAGAATTCCAACGCGTAGCAGCAAAAGTTGGCATTCGGCTACCACATATTTCATTTGAAACTTGGCTTCTTTTTGAAAAGAATGCCGAAAATCCAGACAAACTTGAAAAAAATACGCAGAAATCTTTCATGTTGTTGCACGCTTTGCTCAATACTAAATTTAGGGCATGGGCATGACAATGCGTAAAAAGTACATAAGGAGCTATGGACTTTATTTTAGTTTGTAAACCATTCAAATGGCCGGCCATGACCGCAGCCCCATCATAGGTTTGCGCAATTAACTATTGCCTAAAATTATAGGTGTCACACGTACGAATTGAAAAATTAAACAAAACGTCAGCTATGCGCCCAGATAAAACATAATGAAAACCCATAAAACGTTCTACCACATTACCGTCTCCGACATATCTAAAAACGATTGAAAGTTGTGATGTACAGGTAATATCGGTAGTTTCATCAATTTCCCATGCAAAAAAAGAAACACTTTCTCCTGGCTTATATTCTTCTTAATAATATATGTCACACTGTCTATAGGCTCATTTTGGATGGTTTTTGAGGTGCCCGAAAAAACGCAACCGTTTAAAAAAGTGCCAAATTGTGGATCATATTTGCCCCATAACATTAAAAATTCCTTGTAATTGCCGCGATTCGAATCTTCGGTTTCATCGTGTCCGCGAAACGCTAATTCTTGGAAACCCAAATCAATCGTAATATCGATAAGTCTTTTTAAATTCGACCGATTTTCTCTAACCTGATTATTAAAAGAAATTATGGACTGTTTTTGAGCTGTATTCAAAGCTGTTGTTATATTTTGTTTGCTAAACAATTTTAATTTACAAGACGAAAATATATGCTCCGTAGATTTAAAATGTCTTTCTGTAGAACGAGGTAAATTTTTTAAATTGGAGTATCCTATTTTAGACCACGTTTGATATTCGGTTTGTACGGAAAATAAAACACAGGGCCAACAAAAAAGTTTTTCTCGTTTAATGGAGCCGGTTAACCAATCGCATTTATCGTACCAACTAATATTAAATCCTCGATTTTCTCGATTATCTGACTGAATTCGTCCATCTCATCCATAATAAATAAAAAAAAAAATACCGAAAAGTGAAAACCTAAAAACACCTTGAAATTGAAAGAAAACACAAATATTACCAAAAAGCACTGCTATAATACAATACTGCCTGTTTTATACACAAATAACAAATATTATCAAGAAACACTAAAACGATTTACCAAAATATTTTTCAGTTTTTTCAAACGCAGTCGTACACTAACGGAGACAACTGGAGGCTAGCCTCCTCTAGCGCTATAATTTTCGCAACTGGAATTACAAATCGGGACGTATGTCACTGATTGGTTCGGTCTCGCAGAGCTTGTGTTTTTTAAAGCGGTCGGAGACTTGGCTCCTTTGCAACGAATGGCATTTATTATTTCGGGTTGATGGTTTATTCGTTCATGGGCAGTGCGTTTGACGATTATTGATGCAGGATACAGTGTGGTACGTACTACGTGGTGAGTGATAGTGTTTTTTCGGGCATATTATGTATTTATATTAAAAATTAATGCTAAAGTAATGATACCCAAGCATTTTTAGAAAAAAATAATCATAATTATTTGTCAATATTTTTTAATTCATTGCGATGGATAGCCTCAAATTTTATGTGGAGGCTGAGCCTCCCTTGCTTCCTCTGACGAGCCGCCGCTGATTCTAACATATCACAATTTTCTTAATGGGAAAACGGCATTTTCAAAAATATTCGACCAGTAGTTGACATTTACAATAATTTATAACATTATCATGATACACTCGAGAATATTTGACAAACAGTATTTCAACAAAGTTCCAAGGCAACTTGATTACTCATTATAATTCTGTTTTATCGAGTCAAACACATTTTTTCCAACCTCATCAATATGACGCTCCAGTAATTTCTGTTCTGTACAAAAACGGCTTCAATGGAAATTATCATTTTGTAAATTATTATCAAATAGCTCAGTGGTATCAAATGAGTGGTACGACATGATGATCACGGGTTTCACGAATCCCAGCACAATTTTTTCTTTTTGCTATCACTAACAAAATATTGTCATTCGCATAAGTACCAAGAAGGGCGATTGCACAATCATCAGGTTTCATTTGCCAAAACAAAGAATTTTTTGTACTAGTGAAATCAATTAATATTTACACATTAGCCGCTCATTTTCAACTTTAGGAAAAAAGGTGATATGAGCTCTGTTGTTGGGAATGTTTTACGAATCGAAATGCATGTTAAAATAAAGGGTGTTCCATATACAAAAATATTATTTTATGAAATATTTTCAAAACAAGACTGTCAATTTATTTTGTTTTCGGCATCGAGAAGGTCATTGAAAATGCTACTAGTTTTCCCATTCAACCCAATTCTTAGCATCAATAATAACGGAGTTGGCAATGGTATCAACTTAATTTGGAACACCACGTATACTGTTCGATAGAGAATTTTGTACTCTATATATATTGATGCTGTTCGTTTTTCTCCAAATGATGTCGTTGAGTGATTTTCAGCCCATTTTTCGCTACAAATTCGAATTGAACCGTTGTCGAAACAGCCCCAAAAATTAACCAGGCATTTGGCAATCATGTTAATAAACGCACTATTCGACGTTGGTTTGCGAAATTTTTCGGCGTTCTCCATCTTGCTATATTACAGTTTTCGTAATTCTTTCATCCATTTCATTTTCCAGTTTTTATGTCATCTTGCGCTGCCTGGCTTCTATTCGATGTTTTCAATTGGATGAATCTGGGAAACACTTCCTTCTTGATGTAAATGTTGAAAAACCAGATAATCTGATTAGTTATGGCACATCGAAGAATTGACTTGAAGTACCACAATGCCAAGAAATTGGTAGAAATTTCCTTTAATTTTTTGATTGACTCGGCCGTTACTTGAAGATCCATAGTAATTCCATAAACTACACCTCACGATTTGATCTCCACAAATTTCCTTAAGGTATATATTGGCGTTGTCCCTCTTGCTATATTTCAGTTTTCGCAATTCTATCATCAATTTCATTTTTCCCGTTATTATGTCTTCTTGCGCTGCCTGGCTTCTATTCGATGTTTCCAATTGGATGAATCTAGGAAACACTTCCTTCTTGATGCAAATGTTGAAAAACCAGATATTCTGATTAGTCATGACACATCGAGGAATTAACTCAAAGTACCACAAGGCCAAGAAACTAGTCGTATCTTCCTTTAATTTTTTGATTTATGATAATGAATCTTTTAATTTCGACACAGAAATAGATATGTTGATTGATATGAATCAAGAGCAATAAAATTCCCAATACTGATCCTTCCAGTATTTCCAATGTTGAATTTCTATAATGAATGATATTTTTTTCGATATTAACATGCTGCTCAGTTGTTTGAAATAATTCAAACTGACAAAAAATATTACTTGTGATTCTATATCATTTGAATTTGTCACTGTGAATCACAATTTGACAAAGTAAACCAAATCGTATATCTTAGTACCTACTTACTACCATAGTGTATCATTTTCTATAAGTTATTGGATGATTCAGTTCAGATAATAATTCACACATACCGAGAATCAGTTGATTGCAAATTGTCAAGCTGGTCCTTGAATGGTATATCTTGTTGAGTTTTGTTGAAAAACAGCAACCTGACGAACTGACTGAAAAAAGATGTGATGCATTAGTTCTGCAAATTTTTAATTCAGGATAATTATGTTGAAAAATTGCTTTGGCTCAACACGTCGTTAATCTTCAGCTTGCACAAAATTCAACTTCAGAGGTTTGTCATTCATATGAGAAAGGTTACGAAAAACACTGTTTCAATGCATTTATTGTTCCTGATACATTTTCATCAATATAGATATCTGTGAACTGTTCATTGTCAATTAGAATATAATAATAATAATAATCGTCTTCATTATTAAAAAAAATATGTAAAAAAAAACAAGATTGAGGAAATACACCAACAGATTTTTTTTTAAATAAAGGGCGAAGTTCAGTTCAGTTCCTGAATAAATTCAACAACTGAACTGTTCTTCCACTCAACCCTAAAAAATACCTCTCTATTGAATTTTCTTCAAATAATACAAAATCAAAGGAAAAATATATAAATTCGTCCACACTACGGCAAGTAAGTTTACAGAAGTAGGAGCAAAACGATGTGAAGTTCTGAAATCATATCACTGACGTGTATTGAATAAATGGCTAAATAGATTATAATTGAATTATTTTTGGAACCCAGCCGTACGTAATTCGAGGGGAAGGTCATTCATCACATGGCATATTTGATAACTGAAACACCTGCGGAAAAATTCAGTTTTAAAAGAAGGTGGAGTAAGGTGGTGACGTTATGTATATCCGTTCGAAAAGAAATTTTTCTATGAAGATAAGCAGGCTTTCTGATAAGAATGCTTTTATGGAATAGGTTGGCGGCATGCAAGATTCTTCTGTTATTCATATTTAACCAATAGGCATCTTTGAGCTTATTAGAAAGTCTCTGAGAACGTCTTATTCCATAAATAAGTCTCAAGCACGAGTTTTGTACTTTTTGAATTTAACGTTTATACTGCTCACTCAACTGTGGTCCACAGACAGTATTAGCATAGTTAAACTGTGATAAAACTAGTGCTTCACACAATACTAATTTCAATTTCAGTGGAAGATCCTGCCTAACTCTATATATCAATTTTAAAGAAGAATATGCACGTCGTATTAAGTTATTCAAGTTCTTTTCGAATCTGAGAGCGTGGTCAAAGATGACTCCAAGATTTTTCCCTTCTTCCACCAACTCGATATTCACGCCATTGATTGATATGTTTAGGTACTCTAAAATATCAGATCGTTTGGACTTTGGTCCAAATAATAGAACATTTGATTTTTGAGAGTTTAAGAGTAAACAGTGTTCTGTTGCAGCCCTATAAAAATTATCCAAGTCTTTATTAAGTATCATGCAAGAATCATTTACATCTAGAGGGGGGAAACTATAATAAATTTGGGTGTCATCATCATAAAAGTGCACCTTGCAGTGATTCAAATTTTTGATAAGATTGGAGGAGTAAAGAGCAAACAGGATCGGCCCAAGTATAGAGCCTTGTGGCTTTCCGCGTTGAAGAGATAGGGGAGATGGAAAAGTTCCATCAAACGTAACTCTTTGACTCCTTCCATTAAGATAATTGACAAGCAAGGTGATAGCTGAAGTTGACAGACCAACGTAATGTAAAATTGATATCAATAAATCGTGGCTGTACAATGTCCTCTATCTGAAGCTCTGACAATGTCATCTACAACATGCAGCAATGCTGTAGTGCAACTGAATCTCTTCCGAAACCCAGACTGAACACCGATGGTAAAATGTTGATTTCTAAAATGTGCTCCAGGAGTTGTACTTCTATATGGGGACAACATTCACAAAGTTACGAAAGACATCAGTGAACTTCCATGTAATCCGGAAAAATTGAAAAAAATCCAACTCAGTTTTTTTTGGTGAAATGAATTGACTCTTTTGGACAAACCATAAGAAACGAAGTTCACTCTCTTCAAACCCTCGTACTTCATATCAGTGACGACACCAAAAAAATATATACTTATGAAATACATCCATATTATAGAATGAGGGTAGAATTTTCGAAAACCGAAAACGATGACTTCTACTATAAAAAAAAGAGAATTGTCGAAGCTGTCGCAAAATTTTCATAAACGAAAACGATAATAATTACGTTCTATCAATAGTTCGGGGATATTGAAGAAAACTTTTTGGAACTTTGAATCAAAAATCTCCATTGATAGGAATTATTCGTGTCATTCAAGGTCTGTCCATCACCATCGAATAGGCGTCTGTTGAAAAATTCAGTTGGCTGCAATTTCAGTAGCAAAAAGTACAGGGTGAATCAACAAGATTCCTACGGTCCATTGCTATCAGGGAAAACAATTTTTCAAATTGTTCAATTTTTTTCGCAGTTATATCGATAATTACTATCTTTCGAAATCATTTTCTCGCATACTGGGTGATTCAGGCGAGCGTGGCCAACCAAAGTTATATTTTTTCAAATGGAACGCCCAATATATGAATACGTCATTCGATTCCATATTTTTTCAGCTCTCTGAGGAGTTTTTGTTTTCGAATTTCCATTGCGCCATTGTAAAGTTATTCCAGAAAAGCATATTTTGCAGACAATATTTTTTTAATTCACAATCCGTATGTCTACAGCATTTAAGTGGATTTTTTCTAGTAATAGTTATTCAACATCACTATGATAATTTCCGAAATCTCAAATTTGAGAAACAATATATAGGGTGCTCGATAAAACCGGTCAAGTTTTATTAATTTTCAACCGGATATAATTCAACTTTTTCCAATAGAACACCCTGAATTTTTTTTGCATGAAATATTGCAACATTTCACTACAATTTTCAACAGAAGTATACTATACGGAAAACAGATATTTTACAAATTATACCCACTTTTATTAGTTGTTGTAACCACTAAAAATTCATTTGTTTACGTTCACTTACTCAAAATTTCTTCAATATAAACAATAACGCCTAAACTTTTAATTGAATAGAGGAGTCCAAAAGATGTTCAAAATGACGACCATTTTCTGCAACACATAATGTCCTTCTTTTTTCAAACGAATTCTCTACACGCATATCCTATGGTATTTTCCTGAAAGCTCTAGTGCTTCTTCGTTTCATGTCTTCTATAGATGCTGGAGGAGTTTGTTAGACAATCCATTTGATATACCCCCTTGAAAAAATCTATTTTGGACAGGTCAGGTGATTGAAGTGATCGTTGAGGTATTTCCATACCTCATTATTGCAACGTGGTGGTGCACCGCCACATTCTAAGTCTTGTTCTATATGGAACCCCGACCAATAAATTCGAAAACTCATGCCGAAGAAATTTTACATATTTTCTTCCAGTGAGATGCCCATCCAAAAAATACGGACCGATAACTCTTTTTCCAAGAATTCCAAATATTCAGCGACCAACGCTATTGATGGTTCAGGCAACGAACAAAATGGGGTTTTCCATTGCATAATAATGCATGTTATGCTGATTCACAGTTCCATTTCTATGGAAAGTCGCTTCATCAAAAAATAACACGAAATTGAAAAAATAATTTTTCTGATTGATCTTTTCTAAGCCCCATCGGCAAAATTGAACACGTCTTTCAAAATCTCTTCCTCTCAACTCTTGCATCAATTGTATGTGGTAAGAATGAAATTTGCTTGACCGTATTATTCGTATTCTCTTCATTTGTTAAAGGGCAGACACGTTCGAACTTGACATTACCAGTTCTCTCAAATCTTGTTTTTAGAGCCTGAAATGCCCTTCTATCTGGTTGTCTTCTTTCGGGGAGCTTCTCTTTGTAAATACTAGGAGACCCCAAAACATAGACCATTTGCAACATATCTTCCAATACATAATTCATAATGAGAATGATTCAATCTACACGCAAAAGAAACTTCAACACATGGTGTTATTGACAAATTCAGAGATTCATTTTCTGATGTGAATCATGGATAACTGGGTTTTTGAAGAAAAACACAGTATAAATATTCTTTAGGTTTTTAGGCAATTCTTACCATTGAAACCGCTGATAACTACCACTAGACGGTATGAAAAATGCTAATGTACGTACTAGCGATAATTCACAACACAACAAAAAAATATTTTTTGAATGTTTCCTACACTAAATTGATCAATTTCAACTAATTTTGGGGTGATATAAACGAAAATAACAATGAAAAATTTTTATTAGCTCTGGTTTTTGAGATACACAGTACTTAATCTTAAAGAGTACTTATACTATACGTGAAAAGTGAAAGTACATAAAACAATATTGTTATGTTTCTTTTAGAATATTTTAAGTACAAAATTAATAAAAAAAACATAAATAAAAAAAAGAAGTTTGTACCACCAAATTTCAATTAAGTCCATCCGATTCATTGTAAGATCGCTGTCGTTTAGCTTGTCTTTTATAAAACACTTCTGGAGCATCCCTACTCACAGACCAGCAGTAGTCTGCAAGCATTGCTTCATTCCAACGGCCCTGATATCTCTGTTCCATTGAGGCAATGTCTTGATGGAATCTTTCTCACTCACAGCTCCACCGTTTTGTGGGAAGAAATTAAGATGAGAGTGAAGAAAATGAATTTTTAAGGACATGTTGCATCCAAGTTGGTGGTAAGCTTGAAGAAGCTCTTTAACCAATGCTGTGAAGTTATCATCTCTTTTGTTACCTAAAACCCATGTACAACCCCCTTAAAGGCTTCCCAGGCTCTTTTTTCATTTCCTGTTAAAATCATGTCAAAAGCAGGATCATTTACGATTTCACGGATTTGAGGCCCAATAAAGATGCCTTCCTTGACTTTAGCATCACTCAACCTGGGAAACTTTGCTCTCAAGTACTTAAAAGCTTGTCCTTCCTGGTCCATGGCCTTCACGAAGTTTTTCATTAGTCCCAACTTAATATGTAATGGGGGAAGGAGAACATCCTTAGGATCTACAAGAGGCTCGTAAACTACATTTTTCTCATTAGGGTTTAGGTCTCGTGTAGGCCAGTTCATTTTTTTATAGTGAGATTTTCTATCCCGACTGTCCCACAGACACAAAAAACAACAGTACTTGGTGAACCCTAATTGCATTCCTAGGAGTATA